CTGTGGACTAAAAAAAGCATCCAGGATTCTCTTTGTTGTCATTGATTCCAGTTTGCAAGGCGGGAGAAAGGTTAGTCACTGATTAATCTTGGCTTTCAGTTCATTGCAGCTATTGGAGGGGCAGAGGATGTAATGCAAAATAACTAAATAGTCAAATAAAATAATTCTTTAACAAGGAAAAAAAGATCCCTTTTACTAGGAACTATTTATTAAGAATGCAAATGGTGTGGGTGGGTGATGTGGTTAAGGTGCTGGATTTCCACATGGCTGACGGTGGTTCGAGTCTAGGACCTGGCAGCTGGCTTTTTCCCTTCCCCTCAGCAATCAAAAAAAAAAAAATCTTAAAAAAAAGGAATGGAAGGGACCAGCAGTTAGTGTAATGGGTACATTGAGTCCAGACCCGGTGGCTTAAACTTACGCCGGGCGCGTGTGCATGTGTGCCCAAGATGAGGAGAATGGAGAAGGGATTGCGGCGTGGCCATCCCCCCTGGGAGGTGATTTCTTACTTTATATCTCTCTGTCTCTTCTGTCTGGCTGGCGAGTGCACGTGCCCTATAGCAGAAACCTCTCAAAAAAAAAAAGGAAAGAAAGAAAAGAAAAAAGAAAAAAAAGGAATGGAAATGTTTAAAGAAAAACTGTTTCTTGAGGTTTTTATTTGCCATAGGGTGCATGTACTTTCCAGAGGGAGACAGAGAGGTAGGGTAAGAAATCAATCCCCAAGGGGGCATGGCCATGCTCTAATCTCTTTTGCATTCTCCTTTTGGGATTTTAGGCACATGTGCCTGGCATGATTTTCAAACCACCGGGTCCAGGAATTGAACCACAGTGAGCCATGAGGGAGTTCAGTATCTTAACCACTACACTACCTACTGTGCCCCCCCAGTTTTTTGTTTTTGGGAAGAGGTAGTGTATTATTATTTTTTTTCACATGAGATTTGCCAGAAAAAGAGAGAGCAAGAGAGAGAGGGAGAGTGAGAAAACAAGTGACCAGGTCTGGGACTTGAACTGTGGTCAGCCATGTGGGAATTCCAGTACTTTAACCACCACACTATCTGCTGGCCTCAATTTTTTTTCTTAAGAGAGATTTTTTGGTTCTAGCTGGTGATGTGGTGGTTCAGACACTGGACTCCCAAAGGGCTGACTGCAGTTCAAGTCCTGGACTTGGCAGCTTGCTTTCTCACTCTTTTTCTTTGGAGAGGTTTATCTATCTATTTATTTATTTGCTATTGGGCACGTGTGCTCGCCAGTAAGACAGGGAGAGACAGAGAGACAGAAAGCAAGTAATCATCACCCCCCAGGGGGAATGGCCACGCCACAATCCCTTTTTCTCTCCATTCTCTTTTTGGGATCTTGGGATGTGTGCACACGTGCCCAGCATGAGTTTAAGCCACTGGGTCTGGGACTTGAACTGTGGTAGACTACGTGGGTGTTCAGCGACATAGCCATTACACCAACTGCTGGTCCCCTCCCTCTTTCTTTCTCATGCATGTACCCTGCGGCAAGTTAAGGAATAGTAATAATAAATACAATAAAATAAAATAAATGTCAAAAAAGAGAGAGAGATTTTTGCCATAGAGCATGTGTGCTTGCCAGAGAGACAGACAGAAAGCAACATATCACCCCTCCATGGGAGATGGCCACACCACAATCCCTTCTCCCTTCTCTTGGAATTTTGTGCACGTGCACACACATGCCTGGCATGAGTTTTAAGCTGCCATGTCTGGGACTCTAACCATGGTCGACTATATGAGAGTCCAGTGACGTTAACTATTATGCCATCTACTGGTCCCAAGGGGATAATGGTTTTGAGCTTTAATTTGAGGTTCTAGCTGGAGCTTTGGGTGTTAGGGGTGTAGAGAGGAAAATGATATTCAATGGAATGAAGGAGCAGAGAAAGAACAGAATAAGGTGAGATAGAGGATTCAAGGCTGAGCTTTGCCAACATCCACCAGTGGGGAAGAAGTTTGCCAAGGAGCATGAAAGAGCATGACAGAGAAAAGAGATGATGATCTTAAGACGGTGGTCACAAAACCCAACAAAGACCATGATTATAAAAGTGAGTAGGGCTCATTGGTGGCATGATAGTTCAGGTAGCTGGGTCCCACACGAGTGCATGGTTTGAGTTCTGGACCTGTGGCTTGAAAAACACAGTGGGCAGGCACCAGCAGTTAGTGTAATGGCTATGTCACTGGACTTCCATGTAGTCGACCATAGTTCGAGTCCCGGACCCAGTGGCTTAAAACTCATGCCGGGCGCGTGTGCGTACGTGCCCAAGATCCTGAGAGGGGAATGGAGGAGAAAGGATTATGGCGTGGCCATCCCCCCTGGGGGGTGATTTCTCGCTTTCTATCTCTCTGTCTCTCTCTGTCTGGCAAGCGCACGTGCCCTATAGCAAAAACCTCTTAAAAATCAAATGAAAACAAAACAAACAAACAAAAAAACAATGTAGCTTCCAGCCCTGAAGTTCAGTGTACTATCTATAGTGGGCCTTGTGAATAATCTTGTTAACATTTCTTTATTTCAGAGCCCTGCTTGGAATGAACCACGAATAGAAATAGGAAATCATGTTCTCCTGATTGCTCTCTGGGCACATTTATTTGCACACTTGAAAATGGCAGCCACACACCTACCCAGCAGTAAGTTCTGGGGGGTTGAGGAATGCTCTTCACCAGGACTAAGTAGCCCTTCTACCATAGAGTGGGTTCAGGGAAAGGGGCATACTAGCTGTGAAGGAGGGCTGGGAAGGGAGAGATGAGATGAGAGAGGTAGGTGTGTAGTTCTCTAAACCAGTGTTTTCCAACTTTTTTTGGCACCAGAGACTGGTTTCATGGAAGACCATTTTTCCATGGAAGGAGAGGAGGATGGCTTATGTGAGTGTGCAGCCTAGATCTCACATGTGCAGTTCACAGTAGGGCTTGTGATCCTATGAGGATCTAATGCCACCACAGATCTGATGGGAGGCAGAGCTCAGGCTGTGATCTGGGCAATGGGGAGTGGCTGTAAATCCAGATCTTGCTTCCCTCACTTGCCACTCACTTCCTGCTGTGTGGTCCAGTTTCTAACAGGCCATGGAGGGGTTGGGGAACACTGATCTCAACCCTTGGAGCTCTAGAGTTGGCTCATGTCTGCTTCGATGTCTTTTGGGATTTTGGAGGAAGTTATCCCATCCTTTTGATTTATAAATTTGAGAAAGAAAACATCTTCCTAAATTTCTAACTCTCTGTCTCTTTCTCTATTTTTTTCTTTGAGAGAGATTTTTTTTCTATAGAGTGTATGCACTCACTGGAGAGACAGAAACAGAAAGTGAGAAATCATTCCCTGGTGGGGAGTTGGTGGTAGCCACACTGCATTCCCTTCTCCTCTGGGGATTTTGGGCATATATGCACATATGCCTGATGTGAGTTTTGAGCCAATGGGTCCAGGACTCAATGTGGTTGAACATATGAGCGTCTAGCACCTTAACTACCATGTCCTCTGCTGATCCCCTAAATGTCAATTTTACTTTTATGAAAATTGAGAATGGGGGCCAGCAGGTGACATGGTCGTTAAGGTGCTGGGCTCTCACATGGCTGACTGCGGTTTGAGTCTCAGACCTGGTGGCTTGCTTTCTCACTCTCTCTCTCTCTTTGGTGAGTGCATATGCCCTATAGCAAATTAAATAATAATAAGTAAATAATTCTTCAAAAAGAAAGAAAACTGAGACTATAAATTAATTCCTCATGGGTAGGAATATTTCTGACTCCGAGTGCACCAGACTGTTCTGACTGATAGTGTGTGTGTGTATGTGTGTATGAGACTCGTAATTGGTGTGTGGCAGTTTCTAGGCTTCCATGTGTTGCGATATTGTGTGTGCATAGATTCTCATGTCTCCCTCTCCAGCTTTGTCAGTGCAACACCCTGCTGGTGCTCATGAGAGGAGCTCAAAGGCAGAAAACATCCCTTCTGTGTTACAGGTAAGTAAAAAAAAGTTTCTTTGTCCTAAAATACATTTCTATCTTCTGGAGTCAATGTGTCTCCTTCCTGTACTCTGCGGCCTCAAACCCCAGCCTACAACTTACAGCTTCTCATGGTGGTTCAGAAGTCATTCCAACAAAATGCTTTTTCAATGGCCTAATAGTTACAATCCACCTCCCACCATATCCCTCCTTAGTGCTATTAGGGAAAGGGAAAGAAAGATACAAGAGTTTCTTAGCCTCAAAAAATGTATGGTTACTTTGTGGGAAATAGTTTATTTATTTAGCAAGTACATTTAATTAATTAATTAATTAATTAATTACAATTTTTAGACAGTATTTTGCTATAGGGTGCATGCGCTCATTGGAGAGACAGAAAGCTAGAAATCACTCCCAGGGGTATGATCTTGCCTCAATCCCTTCTCCTCAGTCTCCTCTTGGGATTTTGGACATGTATGAATTTCCACCTGGTGTGAGCTTTGCTACTGGGTCTAGGACTTGGACCACAGTTGACTACATGGAAGTCCAATGACATAACCATTATGGATCTGCTGGTCTGATTTTATTGTTTTTCCTTTTTCTCTCTTTCTTTCTTTTTTCCTTTCTTTCTCTCTTTTTTTCTTTTTTTTGGTGGTTTTGCTATAGGGCACTTTTATGTCTCACTGGAGAGAGACAGAAAGAGAGAGAGAGTGAGAGAGGGAAAATGAGAACCCCCCCCACCCCAAGGGGGATGACCACATGGCAATCTCTTTTCCTGTATTCTCCTCTTGGAACTTTGGGCATACGTGCACATGTGCCTGGTGGGTTTTACAAGTCACTGGATCTAGGACTTGAACCATGCCATCGGTCATGTGGGATCCAGTGCCTTAACCACCAGCCACTGGCTGACCCAGAACATTTTATTGTGTGTTCCAGATGCATCACATCCAGGGCCAGTGGGTGGCATGGTGATTAAGGTTCTATACTCCTAAGGTCCTATATGTGGCCAGCTACAGCTCAAGTCCTGGACCTGGCTGCTTGCTTTCTTGTTTTCTTTCTCACTTTTTTCATTTCTCTCTAGAGAGTACACATGCCCTGTGTAGCATATTAAAAAATAATGATGATAATAAATAATATTAAATAATAAATTTTAAAATATTTTTAAAATTTGCATTTTCTATGGACTTTGGTTTTCTCTGTCTTTAGGCATGCATTGGAGGTCTTAGAACACATCCCTCATAGATAGGGGAGACTAGTGTGGATGGATTCCAAGGCCTGGATTAGCTGAGTCCTGTCTGCAGTTATTATAAAACATGTCTTTTGTCACCCATGCTGTTGGTCATAACCATCTTCTCAACATTGGTCTCTGTCTTAGATAAAATATGTTGCTATTGGAGCCAGCAGGTGGCATGGTGGTTAAGGAACTAGACTCTCACATGGCTGACCGTGGTTCAATTCTTAGACCTGGCAGCTTGCTTTCTCACTTTCTCTTTCTCTCTCTCTGGTCAAATTTAATAATAATTATAAATATAATGAAAAATTCTTTAAAAAATACGTTGGTATTTTAGAACACAGTAACCTTTGAGGATGTGGCCGTGGAGTTCACTAAGGAGGAGTGGGTGTTGCTGGACTCATCTCAGAGAAAACTGTACAGGAAGGTGATGCTGGAGACCTACGACAATGTGGCCTCACTGGGTAAGGCTGATACAAATATTTCATCCATTTATGGAGCTCGAGCATGGGTTTCTAGGATGAGAGAGTCACAATCAGACCTAGTAAGACATACTAGGCTTTATTTATTTTGTGGGGGAGGAGAGAGGAAACTTTCAGAATTTTCTTTTTTTTCCTAAATAATTATTTATTTAATTCCATTTGTTATTATTAATTTTTTTTGAGAGGTTTTTGCTATAGAGCACATGCGCTAGCCAGAAAGATAGAGAGACAGACAGAAGGCGAGAAATCACCCCCAAGGGGGATGGCCACGCCACAATCTCTTCTCCTCCATTATCCTCTTGGGATCTTGGGCATTCACACACACATACCCGGCGTGAGCTTAAGCTGCCAGTTCCGGGACTTGAACCACAGTCTACTACATGGGAGACCAGTGACATAACCATTACACTAACTGCTGGTCTCTGTTATTATTAATTTTTTAAGTTGACCAGAGAGAGGCAGAGAGAGAGAGAGAGAGAGAGAGAGAGAGAGAGAGGGTAAGGGGCACAGCAAGGTGGCAGATCTAAAGGGGCAAAGCAAGTTGCCAGATCTAGGACTCAAACCATGGTCAACCACGTGGGAATCCAGCGCATCTAACCACCATGCCACCTGCAGGCCCCTAGGATTCTTCTTTGAAAACTAATTGAAGTGTGGGGCTAGCAGGTGGTATGGTGATTAACGCACTGGATGCCCACATGACTGGCCACTGTTTGAGTCCTGGACTTGACAGCTTGCTTTCTCACTTTCCCTCTGTCCGTCTCTGGTGACTATAGCAACCTTAAAAATAAACAATCAAAAAAACTGAAGTGGACCAGCCTTGTAGGGAGCTGGAGCCAACACGGCCAACTGTAGTTTAAACTCAGGCCTCTGATTTAGAGGAAGGTTCCATTAGCTAGGGTCTTTTCCCCCTTTTTTGAAGAGATTTTTGCTATAGTGTGAGTATGCTCTCGGGAGAGACAGATACAGAGAGACAGGAAGCAAGAAATCACTCCCAGGGCAGATGGCCACTTTGCAATCCCTTCTTCTCCATTCGTCTCTTGGGATCTTAGGCATTCATGCACACACACCTGGCATGAGTTTCAAGCTGTTGGGTCTGGGACTCAAACCGTGGTCAACCACATGGGAGCTTAAAGACTTTAACTAAGGCCTTTACCATCCAGAAGTTGATCTTCCAACTTCTTTAGTTTTACTGTGTCCGTGGGAAATGCCTCATGATATTTCGCTGTTCCTAACCTCACACTTATCTTGGCCTCAAAGACCAAGCAGTCATAGTTTCATGGTGTTTTTGTTCTACGTTGAATGGTTCCCTCATGTGCATCTTCTCCTTATTAGGACATAAACTCAGCAAACCCATTCTGATCATCCAGCTGGAGCAAGAATGTACACTAAACACAGCAGAGAGGATTCGCCGGCATCCTCATTCAGGTAAGGACAAGGCACATACGAGGGGAGGATGTCAAGTATTTCATGGAAACATGGAATTAAAGTATGAGTTTGTTTTGGTGCAAACATGAAATCTAGGGGCCAGCAGGTGGCGTGGTGGTTGAGGGAGCTGGACATCCACATGGCCGACTATAGTTTGAGTCCCAGACCTGGTGACTTTCTCTCATCAAATTAAAAATAAATGAAGTTAAATAGAATAAATAATTATTAAAAAAAAATAATCTATGCACTGTTTTCCACTAACATGCATTTTTCATGAACTTTTTGATGATCTCTTATGAGTTTTTTTTTTTTTTTTTTCTTTTTAAAGAGAGGTTTTTGCTATATGGTATATGTGCTTGCTGGAGACACAGAAAGCGAGAAGTCACTCCTCAGGGGGTATGGCCATGCTGCAATCTCTTCTCCATGCTCCTCTTGGAATTTTGGGCATGTATGCACACACACCTGGCAGGAGTTTTAACCCTCCAGATCTGGTACTCAAACTGCATTCGACTATATGGGAGTCCAGTAATATAACCATCTGCGGGTCCTATTTTTCCACAAACTTTTTGAAGATCTCTCTTATGTATGTTTTCAGTAACAATAGATCTGGCTGGGTGAGAGGAGGCTACACTCTGAAATGTCAATCAGGAAGCTTAAAAACTCAATATAGTGGGAATCAGCAGTTAGCGTAATGGCTATGCCGCTGGACTCCCACGTAATTGACTGTGGTTTGTGTCCTGGACCCGGTGGCTTAAAACTCACGCTGGGCGCGTGTGTGTGCGTGCCCAAGATCCCGAGAGGAGAATGGAGGAGAAGAGATTGCAGCGTGACCATCCCCCCTGGGGGGGTGATTTCTCGCTTTCTGTCTCTATGTCTCTCTCTGTCTGTCTGGTGAGCGCATGCACCCTATAGCGAAAACCTCTCCAAAAAAAAAAAAAAAAAACCTCAATACAGTTAAGGAGAAAGTGGAGAATATTTGATGTGAGCTTCCTCATGTCATTTCAGCTTTCCCTAATGATTTCATTGTTCCCTGTGGCCTGTTAGAAAGTCCCGTCTTCCTTTGTATGCAGTCATGTACCACATAATATTGTGTATATGATGGTGGGTCTCATGGGATTATAATGGACTTGCCACCACCATCTGGGCTTGGGTAGGTATACACCCTGCAGTGCTCATACAGTGACAACCCCCATGATGCATTTCTCAGAATGCATCCCCTTCCTGAAATGCAACTGTATTTACCTTTGAAGTCCTTGCCAATTCCTTCCCATTTTCACGTATGATCGTAGGTCTTACCAGCTAATGTAACTTTTCCATCATGATGGAATCATTCCTTAGTAAGTTAAATAAACTATTAAGTCCTATAGATAATGTTGCCCGTGAGTGGTGCATCTTTCTTTTGCTTTTGTTTAGTTTTGGGGTCATGTATGTGTGTTTGCCACAGAGGGAGAGAGAGTAAGAAATCACACCCCGGGGGGATGGCCACTGTGCAATCTCTTCTCCTCCATTCTCCTTGGGATTTGGGGCATGCATGCATGCACATGCACCCAGTGTGTTCTCAAGCTGCTGTGTCCAAGACTAGAACTGCACCGCTGGCCATGTGGGATCCAGTACCCTAACCTCCACACCACCAGCTGGCCCTGAAGTTTTCTTTTACATTGTCTTCCTAAATTTTGGGTTACTATCTGAGGAGACATCCATGGGGGAAGGAGGGGATTCCTTTTTTTGTTACCATCATCCCACCATTTCATACACTCCATTCACTCAGAGATGTTTTCCATTTGTTTCAGGTGGACTTTGGGCTTGCCTGCTCTTGATTAACATTATCTTATTATGTCTTTTTCAAAAACTTAACTTTTCTTCAATTTGTTTAGATGGGATGATTCTCCTTGAAACCAAACAATCACAACATATGCGACATAGTTTGGAAAAAGAAAGGCCCCGTGACAAGAAGGTAAGACTCACATGGCATAATTTCTTGTCCTTCACATTAAAAATCCAGAGTTTCTGATATTAGAAAATGGGGAGTGCTGGAGCCAGCAGGTGGTGTGGTGGTTAAGATGCTGGACTTCCCACATGGCTGACTGCGATTCCAGTCCTTAGAGAGATTTTTGCTATAGAGGACATGCATTCACCAAAGACAGAGACAGAGAGAAAGTGATAAATCATCCCCTGGAGGGATGGTCACACCACAATCCCTTCTCCATTCTCCTCTTGGGATTTTGGGCACACACACACACATGTACCCTATATGAGTTTTAGCTGCTGGGTCCTGGACTCAAACTGTTGTTGACTACATGGGACTCCAGTGGTGTAACTATTATGTCATCTGCTGGTCCCAAATAACTGCTAATTCTAATCCTGTGATTCTTGGGCTTACTGTGGTCTGGTGGATATGGCAGCCAGATTCCATATGGAAGACCACATGGTTCAAATTCTTGGTCTGATGACTTGAGAAACACATCAGGTATGTGCTTATGCATGTCAAATCTCCAAAGGAGGAGAAGGGATGGCAATGTGACCACATCTCATTGGAGGAGGAGTGCTTTCTCCTCTCCCTCCCTCTATCACTCTGTCTCTGTCTGGTGAACACCTATGCCTTGTAGCAAAAACAAACAAACACACACACAAACAAACAAAAACACAATTAAATGATGTGAATTTTTTTTTCCTTTGCTATAGGGTGCATGTGCTCACCAGAGAGAGAGAAAGACAGACAAAAAATGAGAAATCACTTTGTAGGGGGGATGGCCATGCTACAATCTCTTCTCTTCCATTCTCCTCTTGGGATTTTGGGTGTGCACACACATGCACCCGATGTTTTAAGCCCTGGGTCTGAGACTTGAACTGCAGTCGACTATATGGGAGTCCAGCAATGTAACCATTACGCCATCTGTTGGTCTACTAATGTGATTCTTAGACATACAGAATTTATATTTGGGAGGGTGTGGGATCCCAATCAGTATAATGAATATGATTAATTCTGTTATCGTTAACTCATTTTAATTAGCAAAGGCAAACTCATGGAGGCATACCCACTGAATGTCATGAAAATATTGAAGCCTTAAACATGAAACCTAGCATTGCTCGGAATAAGCGACTTCATGCTAGAGAGAAACTCCTTGAGAACATTCAATCTCAGGAAAAATCTTCTGAACATAAAAAAGATGGAAATGCCCCCAGCATGGGCTTTCATGCAGCGGTGCAGAAAAGAAAACATACCCGAGAGAAACCTTATGAATGCACTCACTGTGGTAAAGCATTAAGCTCCATTGTGTACCTTCAGAAGCATGAGAAAACTCACCGTAGAAGGAACTCTTTGGAATGTAGTCAGTGTGGAAAAGCCTTACGGAACTCTGCCACCATGAAGGTGCACATGAGAATGCATACAGGAGAAAAACCTTTTACGTGTCATCAGTGTGGGAAAGCCTTCAGCTCCAGCTCCTACCTTACCCGACACAAAAGGATTCACACTGGCGAGAAGCCTTACGAATGTCGTGACTGTGGGAGCACCTTCCGAGACAGCTCACTTCTTAGACAGCATGAAGGAATTCATTCAACAGAAAAGCCCTACAAATGTCATCAGTGTGGCAAAGCCTTCTGTAGGAGTGCGCGGCTTACCTTGCACAAATTAACACACACGGGAGAGAAGCCCCATAAGTGTAATGACTGTGGGAAAACCTTCAGCATTCTTTCTTACCTTAAAAGACATAAGAGAACCCACACTGCAGAGAAATCCATTGCATGTAGCCATTGTGGAAAATTATTAAGTAGCCAGGCATCCCTTAAGCTCCACCTGAAAATACATACTGAAGAGAAATCTTACAAGTGTGACAAATGTGGGAAAACTTTTAGAACGAGTTCTAATCTTACTGTGCACAAGAAAATTCATACTGGAGAGAAACCCTGTAAGTGCATGGATTGTGGAAAAGCCTTCAGGGATCGCTCATGTCTTAAAGAGCATATGAGAATTCACACAGGTGAAAAACCCTTTTTGTGTAACCATTGTGGGAAAACCTTCAGAATAAAATCTTACCTCGTCCTTCACAAGAAAATTCACACAAGAACAAAACAATACAAATGTAAGGAATGTGGGAAGATCTTCAGTGGTCCCTTATCTCACAGAATACATATGAAAAATCACACCAGGGAAAAGAAGGCTTTTAAATGTGGGGAGTGTGAGAAAGCGTTTAGGAAGAAGGAATCCCTTGTTATACACAGGAGAACTCATACTGGAGAGAAACCCTACGAGTGTAGTCAATGTGGGAAAAGCTTCAGTGTAAAGTGTAATCTGACCGTGCATCAGAGAATACACACCGGAGAAAAACCCTATCAATGCAATGTCTGTCAAAAAGCATTCAGTAAACGAGTGTCCCTTAGGCATCATGAGAGAATGCATGATGGATGAAAATCCCTTCTGATGTCATGCCTAGAGAATAGCATTTAATAAGCCCCTCAGTCTTTGAGACATACATACAAATGCTAACTGAAGAGAAAAATGATGTTTGTAAAGCATGTGAGAAAGCCTCGGAATATGATACATGTGTGGTGGTGTGGTTAAGGCGTTGGACTCCCACATGACCAACTGCAGTTCTAGTCCCAAACTTGGCAGCTTGGTTTCTCACTTTTTCGAGTAAGTGTGTGTGCCCTATAGCAAATTAAAAAAAAAATAGTATTAAATAAAATCAAATAATTGTAAAAAACAAAATATACATGTGAGAGAAACTCAAGTTGTACAAGAACTGTATGAGCAATACTTTATTCATTCATCGTCCCTTAGAAGATGTAGACAACTCATTGATAAAGAGAAATATATTTATTTATCTTAAATATCTTTAAGACTTGCCCTTGAGAAAAATAAACTCCTGGTGTTTTAAGTAATAATGTTTTGATTGTGTTTTTGTGTTCATGTGTTTTTTTTTTTGTGTGTGTGTCTTATGTGTGTGCGTGGCTAGGAGAGAGAAATTATCTCTCTTAAAAAAAAGTATTACTTGTTTAATTTAATTAAATTATTATTATTATTTACTATGTAATTTACTACAGGGCATGTGTGCTTATCAGAGAGAGAAAGAGATAAGGAGAGCCAAAGTGATAAAGCAAGTCAGGGACTTGAACCATAGCCACATGGGAGTTCAGTTCCTCAACCACCATGCCACCTGCTGGCCCCTGTCTTGTCAATATTTAACATTGTCTTTCATTTTGGCCATTTCAATGAGCATACAGTAGTACCCTTTTTTCAGTTTTTTCAATGTTCAAATTTCATTTTGAACGAACTTTAAAACTGACAGAAAAGTAGCAGTCATAGTACAGAAATTTCCTGTATATCTCTCAGAAGTTCTTGCTTATGTCAATTTGTCTATTAGCACTTTTCTGTGATCTTTCCTTAAAGTTTTGCTTTTCTTTTGATGAGAGGGAGGGAGAAAGGGACAGAGACAGGAAGGAAGGGGACAGAGACAGACATGTATTTTTTAAAGAGATTTTTGCTATAGGGTGGGTGTGTTTGCTGGAGAGACAGAGACAGAAAGCAAGAAATCACCCTCCACCCCCAGGGAGGATGGCCATGCTGGAATCGCTTCTCCATTCTCTTGTGGTTTGGGGCATGCGTGCACACTTGCAAGTATAAGTTTGCAGTTGATTGTTCCAGAACCAGAACTGTGGTTGACTATGTGGGAGTCCAGCAACGTAATCAGTATGCTGTTGGCTGGTCCCCATATGTGTTTTTACTTTTTGTTTTGTTTTGTTTTGTTTTTTTAACCCGGCAGGGTGAGTGTGCTTTCTGGCAAAAGACAGTGAGAGGGAAAGTGAGAAATCAAGCTCCAGAGGGGATGACCACATGGCAATCCCTTCTCCATTCTCTTGGGATTCTGGGCACACATGCATACACCCCTGGTGTGTCTTTCAACCACTGGGTTCAATACTCACACTATGCCGTTGGTCATGTGGGATTCAACTGCCTTAAGCATCTCTCCAACCAGCTGGTCCTGTTTTCAGGGAACCCATAAAAGCCTGCCCAAGTGTTCAACTGGGCTCTGAGACTGAAAACCAGGGCAGACAGTTCCACAGAGGAGTTAAAAGTTTACTATTAAAGGATAACTTATGGGGACCAGCAGATGGCTAAATGGTTACATTAATAATAAAAATAAATAAACAATGGATTCCTACGTAGTCAACTGCAGTTCAAGTCCTGATCTGGCAGCTGAAAACTCACGTTGAGTGTATGTGCATACATGCCCAAGATCCCAAGAGGAGAATGGAGGAGAAAGGGCTGCGGCATGGCCATCTTCCCTAAGTGGTAGTATCTCTCCTTTTGCCTCTCTTGTTCTCCAGTGAGCGCATGCACCCTATAGCAAAAATCTCTCTCTCTCAAAAAAAGGGGCATCTTATGACATCAGAGGAGGCAGGAATGAGTAGACAGATGACCTTCACATTTGCAGTTACAGCCTCTGTTTCCCATCCTCCCACAGTAAACTGGAATTTCATATTTTTTTTGAAAAGGTTTTTACTGTAAGGAGCATGCACTCACCAGAAAGACAGAGACAGACAGAAAGTGAGAAATCACCCCCTCCAGGGGGGATGGCCACACCGCAATCCCTTCTCCTCCATTCTCCTCTCGGGATCTTGGGCATGCATGCACACGTGCCTGACGTGAGTTTAAGCCACCGGGTCTGGAACTCAAACTGTGGTCGACTACACGGGAGTTTAGTGACATAGCCATTACGCTAACTGCTGGTCCCCTTAAACTGGAATTTTTAAAGGAGCTGAATAAATGGGGGTCAGCAGGTGCCATGGAGGTTAAAGTGACTGGATCCCACATGGATGACTCTGGTTAGAGATCGAGACACCATTGCTTGAAAAATCACACCAGGCTCGTGTGTGTGCCTGCCCCAAATCCTGAGAGAACAGAGGAGTGGGGACTGCAGTGTGGCCATCCCACCTGGGAGGCAAGTTTTTCTTGTTCTGTCTCCGTCTGGCAAGCACACGTGGTCTATAGCAAAAACTTAGGGGGAGAAAAGCTGAAAAATGGGGCACAATTTGAGAGAAGCAAGTTATCTGTGGGGGGAGACAGTCCTGCTCTGGGGTCGATGACGGCCAGCCTTTCTGTTAAAGGCCAGCGGCTCAAGTAGCCCTCTCTGCTAGTAGCTCTGAGTGTCCACCCAGGTAAGAATATAAGTTGAGACAGGGAGAGAGCACCCCCGTGAGGTATGGTCATGCCATAATCCCTTCTCTTCCGTCTTCCTCATTTTGGGATTTCTGGAAGGAGAGTTTACCCAGGGAGCAGCAGGAAAGTGCAGGAGTCAGCTCAGTCCATTCACACACCAAGTAACCATATATTGGATGTTTTCTCTGCCACCTCTTTCCTAGGATAGATCTAGCCCCCTTTTTTACCTCCAGCTTCATTTTAAAATTTTGTATAATTTGGGACCAGTGGATGGCATAATGAGTATGTCGTTGGACTCCCATGTAGTCGACCATGGTTCGAGTCCCAGACCTGGTGGTTTAAACTCAAGCCGGGCGCATGTGCATGCGTGCCCAAGATCCTGAGAAGAGAATGGAGGAGAAGGGATTGTGGTCTGGCCAACTCTCCTGGAGGGTGATTTCTCGCTTTCTGTCTCTCTGTCTTTCTCTGTCTCTCTCTTTCTGGTGAGTACACGTGCCCTATAGGAAAAAAACTTTCAAAAAAAATAAATAGAATTAATCCTTTTTCTTTTTTGGAAAGGTTTTTGCTGTAGGGTGTGTGTGCTTGCCAGAAAGACAGACAGAGAGAGAGAGAGACATAAAGCAAGAAATCCCACCTCCCCCGGGGAGGGATGGCCACGCCACAATCCCTTCTCCATTCTCCTCTCGGGTTCTTGGGCACGCATGCACACGCGCCTGGTGTGAGTGTAAGCAACCAGGTCTGGGACTCAAACTGCGGTCGACTACATGGGAGTCCAACGACATAGTCATTATGCCAACTGCTGGTCCCAGAATTAATTCTTTTTAAAAACATCTCTCTAGTAAAAAAAAGAAAGAAAAAAGAGAGCAAGCTGGGGTTTTGTGTCAGGAGAATCTCACCAGCTCCCTGAGGTCAGACCCTGGGGTCTAGGAATGAGATCCAGTCGTAGCGAAAGGAAATGTGGTATGAGAGGAAGGCCATATCCCTCGCTCTCAGAGTCGGGGAATCAGCCAGCCAGTAATTTCCTGTGCTCCTCAAGGGTTTTAGCTGTCTTGGGGAAGAAATGACAGTATGCACATTAGGTTAATGAGGAGCTTTGGGAATTGAGCCCCCAGGGCCACCAAGACTGCAGATACTGTCCCCATGACCAGCATCCTCAGCAGCCCTGCTCAGGTCAGGCCTAGCACACTGAAGTTTCCTTCTGAAGATGCTCTCTCTTGCCCAGGAGCTTATCGCTTCCCTTGGTTCATCTGCCCTTCCTGGGGACCGAATTCTTACTTTTTGGTATCCAGAGAAAACATGGAGGATTTCTCATTGATGTCTTCAAGGTAATCAGAAGACCGTAAGAAATGCTTGGAGAAATTGAACAGTCTATCTGTCCTCCCTCCCTCTGTCTCCCTCTTTCTCCTTTCTTTCTTCTTTCTGTCTCTTCCCTCTCTTCTTCCCTTTTTCCTTCCTTCCTTCCTTTTTCCTAATGAGATATGAGTTAGACCTCACATACAGATAGATAGGGTAGGGGCCCCAAAAGGAAGTCACTGTTTTTCTTTTCTTTTTTTTTGGAGAGGTTTTTGTTACAGGGCACGTGCGCTCGTCAGAGACAGAGAGAGAGAGACAGAGAGACAGAAAGTGAGAAATCACCCCCCCAGGGGGGATGGCCACACTGCAATCCCTTCTCCTCCATTCTCCTCTCAGGATCTTGGGCACGCATGCACATGCGCCTGGTGTGAGTTTAAGCCACCAGGTCTGGGACTTGAACCATGGTCAACTACATGGGAGTCCAGCAACATAGCCATTATGCCAACTGCTGGTCCCTATGTTTTTCTTTTTTTTTTTCTTTTTTTCTTTTTTTGGAGAGATTTTCACTGTAGGGCACGTGCGCTCGCCAGACAGACAGAGAGAGACATAGAGACAGAAAGCGAGAAATCACCCCCCAGGGGGGATGGACACGCTGCAATCCCTTCTCCTCCATTCTCCTCTCAGGATCTTGGGCACGCACGCACACGCGCCCGGCGTGTTTTAAGCCACCGGGTCCGGGACACAAACCGCGGTTGACTGCATGGGAGTCCAGCGACATAGCCATTATGCTAACTGCTGGTTCCCTATGTTTTTCTTTTTAATAAGTCTATGTGTTTTTCCTCTATGGTCTGGCTAATGTATTGGGTTAATGTGTTGGAAAAGTCATGATACATGTTTGCATAGAAAAAATACGTCATGACTTTTCTTTTTTTTTTTTTTTTTTTTTAGAGGTTTTTGTGCGCGTGCGCTCGCCAGACAGACAGAGAGACAAAAAGCGAGTAATCACCCCCCAGAGGGGATGGCCACGCCGCAATCCCTTCTCCTCCATTCTCCTCTCAGGATCTTGGGCACGCACGCACACGCGCCCGGCTTGAGTTTTAAGCCACCGGATCCGGGACGTGAACCACGGTTGACTACGTGGGAGTCCAGCGACATAGCCATTACGCTAACTGCTGGTCCCTATTTATTTATTCATTTTAAATTTGATCAGAGAGGGACAGAGTGAGAGTGAGACAGAGAGAGAGGGAAAGTGAGAAAGCAAGCCACCAGGACCAGGACTGGAACCCCGGTCGGTCATGTGGCAGTCCAACGTCCTTAACCACCACGCCACCTGCCAGCCCCATCAACTTGCATTATTTTCAGCTCTTACTCTGTCGTCTAGAGACCAGCATCTCTTCTATACCTGAGTATGAATTAGACCCTTCAAAATGTATTCTGGGATTCTCTGGTTTCCCTCATCCTTTTGACTGAAGAAGGAAATGTGGTGAGTTTGGCTTGTCAGTCTTGCCACCCTTAAAAATTCAAATTGTCCTTTTCCCGGACTGGGCTGACTTCAGGGCAGGAGGTTGAGGTCCATGAACACTCACTAACCTTTTCAGCATTTCCATTTCTCTTTTAAGACTCCAAAATGAAATATTTTGAAATGTTCTTAAATGAAATCTTCTTTAAACACCAGCATAGTTGAGACCAGGAGGTGACGTATTGGTTAAGGCACTCGACTCCCACATGGCTGACCACAGTTTGAGTCCTGGACCTGGTGGCTTGCTCTCTCTCTCTCTAGAGAGTGTGCATGCCCTGTAGCAAATTAAAGAATGATAATAATAATAAATAAAACAAAATAAACCAGCATAGCACAGTGAGCAATAAATAGCCTGTCACCTTACAGAATGAATCAGGGGTGACATTTTGTCAGATTAACTTTGGATGCCTTTAGAAAATAATAATATTGGGGCCGGCAGATGGTGTGGTATTTAAGGGCACTGGACTCCCACATAGCCAGCTGCAGTTTGAGTCCCACACCTTGCAGCTTGCTTTCTCACTTTCTCGCTCTCACTCTCACTCTGTCCCTCTCTAGGCAATTTAAAATCAATCAACCAATCAAGTTAAAATGAAATAACGACAAAAATATAATGTATTGCACGTACACATGAAATCCTCTTTATTCTTGTTTATTCCCCTCCTTGCCTTCCAAGGGACCCCCACTCTGTGGAATTTGGTGGCAATTTGCCATGCTTCATTTAATGCTATGATGACATGTGAGTGAATAACCGGGAAAAAATGAGAGTAGAGCCACATGCCCACTGATGTGCAAATGCATGTTAGAATGAAAATGAATATACAACTGCTTGGCTTGGTACTGATAAATACGGAAAACAGTGTTAAATAAATAAGAATTAAGTCAACAGATTAAAAACATTGTATGGGGTTGGCAGATGGAGGTGAAGGCACTGGATCCCATATGACTGAGTAGGTGGTTCGAGTCCCAGACCTAGTGGCTTGAAAAACCATGCCTGGTGTGTGTGTACATGCATGCCCAAAATCCCAAGAGGAGAATGGAGAGCAGTAACTGTGTTATTTATTTATTTTAAATTGTTTTTACTACATTGCACTTGCACTTGCTAGAGAGACAGAGCTACAGAGTGAGGGAAAGTGAGAAAGCACTTCCCGTAGGAGCATGGCCATGCTACAATCACTCTTCCATTCTCCTCTTGAGATTTTAAGGACACACTCCTATGCATACAGTATAATTTTGAAGCCACCTGGTCCAGGACTCGAATCACTCATTTAGCCATGTGGTAGTCAGCTGTCTTGACCACCATGCCACCAGCTGGCCCCTGGTTGTGTCTCAACAAACCTTTATTTACAAAACCAAGCAGCGGACAGGATTTGTCTCACAGAATCGGGTTTCCCAAACTGTATTCTAGAATTCAGCCTTAGTAATTTTATTCTAGAATTGTTGTTTGCTTGAAGGCACCCTAGTGGAGAGGATAATGCTTTATTTCCATTTTATTCTCTCTCTCTCTCTCTCTCTTTTCTTTCTAGGTTCTTGCTTTAGGGCACATTTGTTTGCCAGAGAGAGACAGACAGAGACAGAGTGAGGGGAAAATGAGAAGACACCCCCCTGAGGGGATGGTCATGAAGAACATGACACCAAGAAACCTTTCAGATATCACAGAATTCCTTCTTCTGGGACTGTCTGAGGATCCAGAGCTGCAGCCCGTCTTTTTTGGGCTGTTCCTATCCATGTACCTGGTCACCGTGCTGGGGAACCTGCTCATCATCCTGGCTGTCATCTCCGACTCCCACCTGCACACCCCCATGTACTTCTTCCTCTCCAACCTGTCCTTCGTAGACATCTGTTTCACCACCACCACCCTCCCCAAGATGCTGGTGAACATCCAGACACAGAGCAAGGCCATCAGTTATGCGGGCTGCCTCACCCAAATCGGCTTTGTCTTGGTTTTCGTGGGGATGGAAAACGGCATTCTGGTAATGATGGCTTATGATCGATTTGTGGCCATCTGTCACCCACTGAGGTACAATGTCATCATGAACCCCAAACTCTGTGGGCTGCTGGCTCTGCTGGTCTTCTCCATTAGCGTTCTAGACGCCCTGCTCCACACATTGATGGCACTGCGGCTGTCCTTCTGCGCAGACGTGGAAGTCCCCCACTTTTTCTGTGAACTCGCTCACGTCCTCAAGCTCGCCTGCTCTGACATCCTCGTCAATAACATCCTGGTGTATGTCGTGACCAGCCTGCTGGGTGTGCTTCCTCTCTCTGGGATCATTTTCTCTTACGTTCAGATTGTCTCCTCTGTCTTGAAAATCCCATCAGCTGGTGGGAAGTATAAAGCTTTTTCCATCTGTGGGTCTCACTTGCTAGTGGTTTCTTTGTTCTATGGGACCGGTTTTGGGGTGTACCTCAGTTCCGCATCTACCCACTCATCCAGGAGGAGCGCAATAGCGTCGGTGATGTACACTGTGGTCACCCCCATGGGGAACCCCTTTATTTACAGCCTAAGGAACAAGGACATGCTGGGAGCTTTGAAGAAACTCATGTCTAGAGCATTACCTTTGCACTGATGAGTCTCGTGCTTCGGACTGACAATGCTGAAATATACCGACGAGAAATAAATACGGAGCAATGCAGAGAGCCTCGGGCAGCTGTCTCAGTGCAAGGGTGAAGGGCGAAACATGTTGTAATCAGACCACCTGGATTGGAATTCTAACTCCGTTGTACCATAGTTACATTTTACATGGTCATGTATTCATTCATTTATCTATTTATTTTTTGCTATAAGGCACTTGTGTTTGCCAGAGAGAGACAGAGAGGTAGAGAGGGAAAGTGAGAAATCACTTCCCAGGGAGAATGGCCAGGCTACATACAATCCCTTCTCCTCCTTTCTCCTCTTGGGATTTTGGGCACACATGCACATGTGCTCGGTGTTTTTCATCCACAAGGGCTGGGACTAGAGCCACAGTCAGTCAAATGGGACCCAGCTCTCTTAACCCCAATGTCATCTGCTGACCAAGGACACATGTGGTTTTATTCAAGGCCCAGGAGATGCTCCCCATCTGAAGATCCCTGTTTAACCATATCTCGAGAGTCCCTCTTGACAAAATATGTGACATTCAGATGCTGTAGGGATTAAGATGTATAACAAAGCTCCATCTTCACCCTTGGATTTAAAAAGTACTGTATTATTCTGTATTTCTATGTCTCTTTTGTAATTTAGTATGTGTTCAAAATGAATGGGACTGATTGGTGAAGGATGACATTGTGCCAGGTTAGCTTTACACATACCCAGAAAAATTGCAGGTTTAGATAATTCATATGGAGGGGCCAGCAGGTGAAGTGGTGGTTAAGGTGTTAAACTTCCATATGGCCAATCACATGTCATGTCCCAGAACCAGTGACTTGTAAATCATGCCAGTTATGTGTGAATGCATGCCCAAAATCCCAAGAGGAGAATCGAGACATGGCATGGCAACCCTCCTGGGGGTGATTTTTTGCTTTCCCTCTTCTGTATATCTCTGTCTATCTCTGGTGAGCACACACATCCTATGACAAAAAAACTTAAAAAGAAAGAAACAAAGAAAGAAAGAAAGAAAGAAAGAAAGAAAGAAAGAAAGAAAGAAAGAAAATGTGTATGGAAGTGTTTAAGAAACAAGAAAATAAATCAACAAGCATGAAAACTTATTGAATTCTGTAAAGATGAAAAAATTTTAATGAAATACTAATGTGAAGTACTAGCATGTATTTTTTAAATAATTGATTTTTTATATTCTTTTTAAAATTTTTTATTTATTCATTCATTCATTTTAATTTGACCAGAGAGAGAGACAGAGAGAGAGGGAGAGAAAGTGGGAAAGCAAGCCACCAGGTCCAGGACTTGAACCGTGGTCGGCCACATGGGAGTGTCCAGCACCTTAACCACCATGCCACCTGCTGGTCCCCAATACTAGCATGTATTAAAAAAATGTATAAAATAGGAACAGCAGTGGCATGGTGGTTAGGATACTGGACTCTTACATGGTAGACCACAGTTTGAGTCCCAATCTGGTTGCTTTCTTTCTCACTTTCCTTCTCCTTCTCTGTCTCACTCTGGGGAGTGCATGTGTCCAGTAGCAAATTGAAAACAATAATACATAAAATAATTATAAAAAAATGACTTTGGAAGAAAAGGAAAGAAGTAAAAAGAAAAAAAGAAAAAAATGACTTTGCTATCTTGGGTATTTACCCAAAGAATAGGAAATCAGTCAGAACAACACTTGTGCCTCCATTTTTATTGCAGCATTAGTCACAGTAGCTAAGTCATGGAGCCAACTTAAGTGCCCAACAAATGATGAACGGATTAAAAAGATGCACTTATGCACAATGGAATACTCTTCAGGCGTAAAGAACATCAAGACTCTGTCATTTGCTACAAGTTAGATGGATCCAGAAGATGGAATGCTAAGGAAATAAGCCAGACCATGAAAGATAAGCACTGTGTGTCCCAAAATGTAAAGAAAAATAGATGAAAATCAAAAGAAACAACAGAAATGAATAAAAGAAAGTGATTATTTTTATTTGATAGAATTATTCATTTAATTTTGTTATTATTATTTTAATTAGTTATAGGGCACATGCGCTCAACCAGGGAGAGACAGACAGATAGAGAGAGAGGAAAAGTGAGAAAGCAAGCCACCAGGTCTGAGACTGGAACCTTGGTTGCCTATGTGAGAGTACAGTGACTTATCCACAATGCCACCTGCTGGCCCAGTAAATTTTTGTTTGTTTGTTTTTGTTTGTTTATTTGGGTTTTTTTTTGGAGAGATTTTCACTATAGGGCGCGTGCACTCGCCAGACAGACAGAGAGAGACATAGAGACAGAAAGCGAGAAATCACCCCCCAGGGGGGATGGCCACGCTGCAATCCCTTCTCCTCCATTCTCCTCTCGGGATCTTGGGCATGCACGCACACGTGCCCGGTGTGAGTTTAAGCCACTGAGTCTGAGACTCAAACCGGGGTTGACTACATGGGAGTCCAGCGACATAGCCATTACGCTAACTGCTGGTCCCAGCCCCAGTAAATTTTTAACAGGCTCATGAATGAAAGGTTATCTATTGATGAAGATACATAGGGTAATATCTCTGGCTTGATTCATATGTACTACTTCCTTGCTGGAAAAAAAAAACATGTTGTATACTGAAAAGATGCACAGTGATTAAATGTAAATGTAAAAAATATTTAAAAATTGTTAAAGTAAGAATTTATACTTTCAATAAATTATTTATAGCCATATATGGCAACTAGATTTCCACACCAAAAGTTTTTCAGATGTTTTGATACTGATTACATATAGATGCCTTTGTTTATAGCCATAAGAGAAGAGCGAAATCCAGAGAAGGGTGGCGTGCCCACCTGTGTAAGGGGTGTGACCAGGAATAAGCAGACTCAATTGGACGAATGGGAAAAGTCTACACCTGGCCAACACAGGTCAGGGAAGCTGTCTTCCTGCATTTCTCCCTTTGAGAGTTTGGTCTTTAAGGATTCGGCTCACCCTGGGATCACAGTGACAATGCATTTTCTTGGGTAATGAGCAGCTTTGGATATAGAGTCTCTAGGGATACAGAGCCTGCCACGTATCTGTGACCACCTCCTTCATCAGTCCTTCCATAGAAGAGAAGTGACACACCTGATCTCCTCCCCACAGAGGACCCTCCTCCCCTTACCAGGACCCAGGACTTCATTTCTCTGTCTAGTCCCTCTGCCCTTCCTGAGGACACAGCCTCCATACGATTCATCCAGGGATGTCGAGAATCCAAGAAGTCCCCTGTGATGCCAGCTAGGGTAATGTCCCTGAGTTAATGTTTAGAAAGGAGGACAGAGGTTTGGCTACAATGGCGTCCAGGGGAAGCTTTGAGAGGGGTCTAACTCTAGAGTTAAACCCTCCAGATACACAGAGGTCCTGTGTATTATCTTCCTCACGCCTTTTCTGTATCTTTGCATCAGCACCAATGCAATTCTTAGGTGAGCGGGTAGCGTGGAGGTTAAGGTGGCAGGATCCCACATAGCTGATTATGCCAGACCTGGCGGCTTAAACACGCCAAGTGCATGTGCATGCTTGCCGGAAATCCTGAGAAGAGAACAGAGATGAGATTGAGGTGTGGGCATCCCTCCCACCACTGGGAGAAGAGTGGTTTCTCGCTTTCCCTCTCTCTGCCTTTCTGTCTCTCTCTGGCAACTGCTCATGCCCTGGAACAAACTTGAAAATTTAAAAACAAAACAAATCCAAATGAATACAATTCTCATTTACTGATCTTGTGCTCAATTTCTACGATGGTCAGGACCGTTTTCTCTCTCCTCCTGAAGGGAAATCTGCTTCTTCTAAAACAGGATGACTGTCTTAAAATTCTTGGTCATTTACTAGCAATCTTGTGGTTGTGAAGGACAGAATGCTTGGTAAGTTCACCATATCTTCTCATTTCTAGTTTTTTGTTTTGTTTTGTTTTGTTTTTTGAGAAGTTTTTGCTATAGGGTGCATGCTCTCGCCAGACAGACAGAGAAAGACAGAGAGACAGAAAGCGAGAAATCACCCCTCAGGGAGGGATGGCCACACCACAATCCCTTCTCCTCCATTCTCCTCTTGGGATCTTGGGCACGCACGCACACGTGCCCAGCGTGAGTTTTAAACTACCGGGTTTGGGACGAGAACCGCGGTCGACTACATGGGAGTCCAGCGACATAGACATTACGCTAACTGCTGGTTCCTCATTCCTGGTTCTTAGCACACCTTTATATATCTCTGCTCCCTGGCTCTGAGATCTTTGGAGTTCCAGAGAGAATCTTAAGGTTATCTCCCTAGTCTATGTATTTCTCTTTATAAAATTACAAAATATTTTTTAGCAAGCAGAATAGTAAACATGGTGCATCTTCTTTTTTTCTCCTTAATTACTGGGAACTAGTCAGAGAGAAACAGAATGGAAGGGAGGACAAAGCACCCCAATCGAGCACGGTCAAACCATAACTCCTTCTCCTCCATTTCTTCATCCTGACAATATTTCAAGTGCGCGCGCGCACACACACACACACACACACACACACACACACACACATTCCTGGCTTGTTTTTCAAACTGCTAAGGCCAGGATTTCAACCATGGTCCACCACGTGGGGTCTGGTTCTCTTAACCATTAGAGGTCAGCCTGATGATGTAGCTTTTATAATGAGTCATCCTTGACCTCTTCCGGAATTAACCAATGTTGACCCTCTGCTATAAAAGCTTCAAGTTTTGTGATGATAACAAATTAGTATGTGTAAGTAAGAAAGCCCACCCCATTTTTTGATACCCCTCCATTAGTTTCCTTGACTTTCAAGGACAGCGATCTTGTCTGTGATCTGGTCGTGTCCTTCAAACATTTTCTTTCTTTATAAACTTATATCTTTTGAGAGAGAGAGAGAGACTCCTAACAGAGACCACTTGCTGAGATCCAGACCACGCCTCAACCTGGATCACAGGCACTCCTGTCCACATACCAGGAAGATTCAGGAAGGTCTGGCGACTCAAACCCAGGACCCTTTACACGTGGGTCCAGTTGAGCTACCATTGTGCCACTACATGTCCTCATCCCTTTTCTTTTTCTATTTTTTTTGTAGAAAGATTTTTGCTATAAGGGTGGGTGCTTGCCAGAGAGACAGAGAGAGACAGAAGGTGAGAATTTGCTCCCCTGGGGGGAATGGCCACACCACAATCCCTTCTCCTCTAGTCTCTTCTTGGGATTTTGGGTATGCACACACATCCGTCTTATGTGAGTTTCAAGCCACCAGGCCTGGGATTCAAACTGCGATCGACCGTGTGGGAGTCCAGCAGTGTAACCATAATACAATCTACTAGTCCCTCTTTTTCATTTTATAAAGATGATACAAGGTGTATGTGCTCTATGGAGAGAGAAAGGGAGAGAAAGAAGTTGAAAAAGCATCCCCCAGAGGGGATGGCTATGCCTCAATCTATTTCCTTGTTCTCTTCTCTAAATTTTCGGCACACACACATGCACACACTCAGTGTGCTTTTTCAAGTCTCTGGGCTTGGGACTCGAACTGTGTAGTCAGCCATGTGTGATCTAGACACCCTAACTGACATGCCAGCTGGTGGCCCTAACTCCTCTCTTTCCATCAGATTTGTCAGCAGCATGAATCCTGGAAACCAAACAACTGTTTCAGAATTCCTTCTTCTGGAAGTGACAGAGGATCCAAAATTGAAGCCCCTCTTCTTCAGTGTGTTCCTGATCATGTACCTGGTCACCATTCTGGGCAACCTGCTCATCATCCTATCTGTCAGCTCAGACTCCCATCTGCACACCCCCATGTACTTCCTCCTGTCCAATCTGTCCTTTACTGACATCTGCTTAAGCACCACCACGGTCCCAAAGATGCTGGTGAACATCCAGACACAGACTCAGAGCATTGCTTACATGGGCTGCCTTGTGCAAATGTGTTCCGTCCTGGTTTTTGCTAGCTTGGAAAATTTCCTTCTGGCAGTCATGGCCTTTGACCGCTATGTGGCCATCTGTCACCCCTTGAGGTACACGGTCATCATGAACATCCGTCTCTGTAGTGTGATGGTTTTTATCTCTCTGTTATTTAGTGTGGCAGATTCCCTGTTCCACAGTCTGATGGTGTTGAGACTGTCCTTCTGCACAGACCTGGAGATCCCCCTTTTCTTCTGTGACGTGGTTCAGGTCATCCAGCTCGCTTGCTCTGATAAACTCATCAACAACTTTCTTATCTATTTTGCATCGAGCGTGTTTGGTGGTGTGCCTCTGCTTGGAATCGTGTTTTCTTATACTCAAATCATTTCCTCTATTATGAGAAAGACATCCTCTAGTGAAAAGTATAAAGCTTTTGCCACCTGCGGGTCTCACCTGTCGGTGGTCTCCTTGTTCTATGGGACAGCTTTTGGGGTGTACATCAGTTCTGCAGTCACTGACTCTTCCAGGATGACAGCGGTGGCCTCAGTGATGTACACGGTGGTCACTCCCATGGCCAATTCCTTCATCTATAGCTTGAGGAACAGGGACATGAAGGAAGCCCTAAGGAAACTCGCCTGCAGGATATCTTCTCTTTTGTGAATCTGTCATCTGATTTGGGCTAAAGTTTCTTGAAAATATCAAAGAGACAGGAATCTTGGTGAACCAGAATACCTGACCATTCTGTCACCATGTTCTTCTAAAATGTCTAGTTAACATAAAGGCAAGTACTTTTTTTATTTTGAGAGACTTTTGCTATAGGTTGTGTGGATTCACCAGAGAGATAGAGACAGAGAGACAGAAAGTGAGAAATCACCCTCCGGGGGGATGGCCATGCCACAATCCCTTCTCCTCCATTCTCCTCTTGGATCTAGGGCACGCACACACTTATGCCCACATGAGTTTGAATCTTCCAATTTGGGGACTTGAACCACAGTTGGCCATGTGGGAGTCTGGCAACATAACCATTATGCCATCTGCTGGTCCCAAGCAAGTACATTTTTTTAAAAAAAAGGTTTTTGCCATAGGGCACATGTGCTTGCTGGAGAGAGACAGAAACAGTGAGAGGGAAATTGAGAAATCACTCCCTGCGGGGATGGGCATGCTGCAATCTCTTCTCCATTCTACTCTTGGAATTTTGGGCATGCATGCACACATGTCTGGTATGATTTTTCAGTCACCAGGTCAGGGTGACTGAAAATCAGTTGGTTAAACAGAACCACAGTTGGTTATGTGGAAGTCCAGCCTCTTAACCACCATGCCACCTGCTGGCCCAAGGCAAGTACATTTTAACATGGATTTGAAACCTGACTCACTCTTCGTATATCTCTGAGATGATTAAAAAATAAATTCAGTCTCTGTATTCTCTTTGCTCAGGAACCAAAGAAGCTGAACCTGATCACGTTTTTTGTGACGGTGATCTTTTTTTTTTTTTTAATAATTATTTATTTTATTTTATTGATTCATTCATTTATTTTTTAATTTGACCAGAGAAAGAAAGAGGATGAGAGTGAGAGAGAGAGGAAGTGAGAAAGCAAGCACCAGATTTAGGACTTGAACCCTGGTCAGTGGGGGAGTGCCCAGCGCCTTAACCACCACACCACCTGCTGGTCCCTGACAGTGATCTTTTGGAAAGTGTTCTTTTGGAAAAGCTGGATGGGGCAATAAGAAGATGAAATGAAGGCTATGGTTATAGCACAGCCTTGATTCAGCCTCATTCTCAAATGGTTTAAAGTTTCTGCAAGAAAGGAGGAGTGCATTTTTTAAAGAATTATTTATTTAATTTAATTCATTATTATTATTACTATTATTATTATTATTATTATTATTATTATTTCGCTATTGGGCACATGTGCTTGCCAGAGAGTGACAGAGAGAGAGAGAGAGAGAGAGAGAGAGAGAGAGCAAGCTGCCAGGTCTGGGACTTGAAGTGTAATTGGCCATGTGGGAGTCCATTACCTTAACCACCACACCACCTGCTGGTCCCAAGAAATGTATTTTGTTGAGATCCATTGAATAGCATGGCGCTATAGAGCTACACAACAATGAAGTGTGACTAAGTAATCATACAAGAAAAAATAAAACTAAAAAAAGGAAATTACATAAAAGCATGGAGAGCAACTGTGGATACTAGAGACGGTGTGGGAAGAGTATGGGTGGGGTTGGGGGGTAGAGGGAGGGAATAGAAGCAAAAGATTTAACAGACACAAAAATGAAAAATGATCTGTTGATGATAATGTGTATGGTAATATCTTTGACTGGACTAGTATACAATGTATTCATGTTGGAAAAATTCTAAAATGGAAAGCATAAATCACTGATGTAAAGATGTACAGTCATTAAATGTAAAAAAAAATAAGAAATAAGAGAAAAAAGAAATTACAATAAACATTATTATAAAAATTAAGTCCTTATGTTAGACTGTGAGAATAATTTCATCTGGAATGAATTCAAGTTATCAAATTTTGATTCTTGATTTTGTATGTTCACCACTTGAAGATTACTTTCCCCCAAGTCATTGTAATATTTGTTCTTTATATACTGGAAAATAGAAACATAATTCCATAAAAGTGTCCACATTTCATATCTGACAATACACATTTTATTTTATCTTTAAATTGCACAATTTCTTTTTTTTTCCTTTTTAAAATTTTATTCGTAGATTTTTTGAATTGCTAGGATCTTTCCTCTCTCTCTCTCCATTCATGCACTCATTATTTCTGTACTAGCAGGTTCATAGTTGCCCTCAGAAATGAACAGTGCTATCTCTTCATCTGTTCTTGGAAATTTGGGTTGACTCAATGTCTTAGCAATTGTGAATAACACTGCAGTAAACACGAAGGTCCAAGTGTTTTTCTGACTGAGTGTATTTCTATTCTTTGGGCAAAGATATATAGTAAATGTAAAAAGATAAAAAAAAAATAGGGGCCAACGGATGGTGTGGTCGTTACGGCACTGGAGTGCCACATGGCCAACTGTGATTTGAATCCCAGACATGGTGGCTTGCTTTCTCACTTTCCCCCTCTCTCTCTCTGAGCACACATGCTCTATAGCATATTAAAATATAATAATAATAAATAAAATAAAATAAATAATTTAAAAAATAAAAGAAAAACAAAATTACCAGTGCTATTGCCTTGAATTTCATCTAATGATGAATTTCTGCTGCTTAGTGATATTGAAAATGTAAAAAATGATGTAGGCACCAGCAAAACTGACTCAATTTTTGGAGGTTTGTTTTTGTTTTCAGATTTTTGCTATAGGTCACATGCACTCACCAGAAAGTCAGAAGAGACAGAGAGACAGAAAGTGAGAAATCACCACTCAGGGGGGATGGCGCTGCAATCCCCTCTCGTCTCTTCTTGGGATCTTGGGCACACATGCAGACACACCCAGCATGAATTTTTATTTTTGTTTTTTAAAGAGATTTTTGCTATAGGGTGCATGTGCTTTCTAAAGAGACAGAGAGAGACAGAAAGCGAGAAATCACCCTCCCCAGGGGAAATGGCCATGCCACAATCCCTTCTCCTCCAGTGTCCTCTTGGGATTTTGGGCATGGACACACACACACCCAGAGTGCGCTAAGCCATCAGGTCAGGACTCAAACCATGGTCTACTACATGGGGGTCCAGCAACATAACCCTTATGTCAACTGTTGGCCCCTAGGTTTTTAAAAAAATTTCTTATTGGTTTTGTGTACACACCAGAGAGTGGCAGAGAGATAGAAAATGTGAGAAAACACCCTCTAGGAAATGGTCATACCATAATCCCTTCTCCATTCTCCTCTTGGGATTTTGAACATACACACACACACATGTCTGGTTTCAAGTCACCAGGTCTGGGACTCAAATCACACAGTCGGCCATATGGGATCCAGCCACCTTAACCACAACAACACTGGCTGGCCCAAATTGAATTTTTTTTAAGAGAGAGTTTTGCTAGAGAGCTCATGTTCTCCCAGAGAGACAGAGAAAGTGAGAAAATGCCCCCTGGGGGGATGGCCATGCCACAGTCCCCTCTCTTTCATTCTTCTCTTGGGATCTTGGTGTCTGGATCTTGGGCATATGCACACACACACACACACATCCAGTGTGAGTGTTAAGCTGCCAGGTCCGGGACTTGAATCATGGCTGACCATGTGAAAGTCCAGTGACATAACAATTATGCCAATTTCTGGTCCTCGAAATTGAATTGTTTAAATATGAAAATACTAATGAAATATTAATCTGGGGTACTATCTGCTGTATTAAAAACTAGGTAAAATCAAAATGTTCTGAGATCACATTTGCACACAAATACTTTAACATGTCATTGTGTTTTTCATAACTATTAAAAATCAAAACACAGGGACTAGCAGATGGTGTAATGGTTATGTTCCTGGACTCTCACATAGTCAAACACAATTAAAGTCCTGGACCTGGCAGCTTAAAACTCACGCTGGGTGCATGTGCGTGCGTGCCCAAGGTCTCCAAAGGAGAATGGAGGAGAAGGGATTGCGGTGTGGCCATCCTCCCGGGGGATGATTTCTCACTTTCTGTCTCTCTGACTTTCCAGAGAGTACATGTGCTCTATAGCAAACATCTCTCTAAAAAAAATCAAAATTTATAATTTTAACTCATAGTCCCCCAAAGTGAAGAGTAATGTACATGTAAACTATCAAAATGAAATGATACGTTTCTGATCTGTACGCATCTGACTATTGATCTGAGACACAGTGTGACAAAAAATTATTAAGATGTTCTGTATGAAATATATATGTGTAGATAAAAGTCCAAGAGAGAAACATTCTTTGACTCTTAGAGAAGAAAACCCAAATCTTTCCTTTTGATTATATAAAGATGCCTTTGTTCTTTTTAAGAGTTATTTTACTTAATTTTATTCACCATCATTAATTACTTTTTAAATTTTGATCAGAGAAAGACGAGAGAGAGAGAGAAAGGGAAGATGAGAAAGCAAGCTATTAGGTTTGGGACTCAAAACATGGTTGGCCATGTGGGAATCTAGCACCTTAGCCATCACACAATCTGCCAGCCCCAAGATGCCTTTATTCTTATCTACGAAAAGCTGACCAAAATCCAAACAGAGAGGGATGGCATGCCCACCTGTGCAAGGGATGTGACTGGGGATAAGCAGACTCAACTGGACAAGTGTGGAACGTCTACACCTGGCCTCCGCAAATCAGGAAAGCTGTCTTCCTGCATTTCTCCCTTCTAGAGTTTGGTCTGTAAGGATTTGGATCACCCTGGGATCAGAGTGACAACTCCATGGCTAATGAGGAGCTTTGGATATTGAGTCTCTAGGGATACAAAGCCTGCCACGTACCTGTGACCACCTCAGTCATCTGTCCTTTCCCAGAAAAGAAGTGACACACCTGGGTCTCTTCCTACAGATGGTGCCTACTGCCAGGATCTGGGGCTGTATCTAGTCCCTCTGCTCTTCCTGAGGGCTGTTCTTCCGTAATGATGCACCCAGAGACATCAAGAATCATTCCACTGTGATGCCAGCCAGGTACCCTAAAATCTCCTAGTTCATATTTAGAAAGGAGGGCTGATGTTTTACTATGATTACATCCAGGGGAGGCTTTAAGAGGGGCCCATATCTGGAGATTAGCCCCCAGATACACGCGGGTCTCCTGTCTATCATCTGCTTCACATTTTTTCTCGTACCTTTGTATCTATACTAATTCCATCCTCATCTACTTGGTTTGTACAATGCCTGAATAGAAACCTGCCTCTTTTTTGGGACCAGCAGTTGGCATAATGGCTATGTCACTGGACTCCCATGTAGTTGACTGTGGTCAGAGTTCCGGACCCGGTGGCTTAAACTCACATTGGGGTGTGTGTGCATGCATGCCCAAGATCCCGAGAGGAGAATGGAGGAGAAGGGATTGTGGCGTGGCCATCCCTCCTGGGGGTTGATTTCTCGCTTTCTCTCTCTCTCTCTCTGTCTTTCTGGCGAGCACACGTGCCCTGTAACAAAAACCTCTAGCACCTCGCGCTTGAACAAAAACACCTCCTGTCAAAAAAAAAAAAAAAAAAAAAAAAAGCCTCTTTTTTTTTTTCTTTTTAAGAGATTTTTTTTTTTTAACCTTAGGATGCATTCACTTGCCTTAGAGACAAAGAGACAGAGAAAGTGATAAATCATCCCCCAAGGAGAACAGCCATGCCACGATCCATTATCCTCCATTCTTCTCCTGGAATCTTGGGCATGCACATGTGCCTTGCGAGTCTCAAGTATGGGACTCGATCTGTGGTTGGCCATCTGGGAATCCAGTGAAGTAACCCTTATACCATCTGCTGGCCCCCGTATCTGTCTCTTCTAACATAAGGTGAGCGTTTTAAAATTCTCTGCCATTTACTGGCAATCCTGTGGTTGGAAAGGGCAGCATGTTGGGTAAACTTATCTTCTCATTCCTGGTTTTCGACATGTCCTTTGTGTTTCTCTGTTCCAGGGCTCTGAGATCTCTGGGGATCCAGAGAGAATCATCAGGCTGTCTCTATAGTCTGTCTGTTTATCTTTATAAAATAACAAAATATTGGTTGTTGGAAAAGTCATGACATATTTTCCTATGCAAAAATGCATCTTGATTTTTCTGATGACCCAGTATTTTATAAATTCTGATGCTATAATGCAAAGAAAATGTATCTTTTATAATGACTGCTTGTAATCTTCCCCAGAATTAACAAATGTTGACCTGCTATATAAGCTTCAGGGTTGGTGGGTAACAAAATACAATGTCAATGAATATAGAGGGTTTAATGCTAAGTGAAGCAAGCTGGTCTATGAAAGACAGACTTTCTAGGTCCCCGCTCAATATGTACTGAATGTTGGTACTTTATGGCATAAACAGAGAGATTGAAAAATACATTATCAGAGACAGCAAGGCAGATCCCAGAGACTGTATAGAAGGGAGTGAACAATTGGGGGCATGAGAGCGGGGCTAAGAAAAAAATAAAACTCAACAGACACAAGAATGGAAAATTATTGGGTAGAGAAATAACTTTGACTTGCTTGATATACAATGCATGGATGCTTTGAGAACCCGTATAATATTCTGTAAAGACACACGAGGATTAAGTGTGACAAACCAAAGTAACAAAATAATATGAATAAAGAATGTGCTTTTTATTGTGTGAGGGCACTTCGAAAGTTCATGTTAAAGTGGAATAGAATTTTTTCTGTGAAAAATTAAATTATATAGAATTTCCACTTTTTGAAGAATTTTTGCATTCCTTTCTATTAATTTTATTTTTAATTTATTTATTTAGGTTTTTGGTATAGAATGTGTGTGTTAGCTGGAGAGAGACAGAGAGAGGGAAGGTGAGAAATCACTCCCCAACGGGGATGACCAGACACAATTCCTTTTCCTTCATTCTGTTCTTAGGATTTCAGGTATGCATGTACACACACACACACACACACACACACACACACACACAACACACACACACACACACACACATGTTCCTGGCATGATTTTCAAGCTGCTGAATCCAGGACTTGAACTGTAGTGAGCCATGTGGGAGTCCAGAGCCATGCCACCTGCTGCCCTCCCCACTTCTGTTAACTTTATTCATTTTGAAAGATGTTTTTGTCCGGTGGTGTTCCCTTGGTAGTCTGAAACACACATTTATGGATCCCCATTTTTTTTCATCAGATTAATCAACAACATGGATCCCAGAAATCAAAGTCTTTCAGAATTCCTTCTCATGGAAGTGACAGAGGATCCAGAGCTGCAGCCCTTCCTCTTCAGTGTCTTCCTGTCCATGTATCTGGTCGCTGTCCTGGGCAACCTGCTCATCATCCTGGCCGTCGGCTCAGACTCCCACCTGCACACCCCCATGTACTTCTTCCTCTCCAACCTGTCCTTCAATGACATCTGCTTGAGCACAACCACGATCCCGAAGATGCTGGCCAACATCCAGACACAGACTCGGAGCATCACTTACATGGGCTGCCTCACCCAGGTCTGCTTTGTCATGGTGTTTGCTAGTTTGGAAAGTTTCCTCCTGGCAGTCATGGCCTACGACCGCTACGTGGCCATCTGTCACCCACTGAGGTATGCGGTCCTGATGAGCCCCCGTGTCTGTGTCCTGGTGACTTTCCTGTCCCTGCTCGTTTGCCTGCTGGATGCCCTGGTCCACAGCCTGATGGTGTTGAGACTGTCCTTCTGCACAGACCTGCAAATCCCCCTGTTCTTCTGTGAAGTCGTTCAGGTCATCCAGCTCGCCTGCTCTGATACCCTCATCAATAACATCCTCATATATTCTGCAACTAGCATATTTGGTGGGATCCCACTGTCGGGAGTAATTTTCTCGTATAGTCAAATAGCCTCCTCTGTCTTAAAAATGCCATCATCTGGTGGAAAGTATAAAGCCTTTTCCACCTGTGGGTCTCACCTCTCAGTGGTTTCCTTGTTCTACGGGACAGGGTTGGGGGTGTACATCAGTTCTGCTGTTACTGACTCTTCCAGGATGACTGCCGTGGCCTCAATGATGTACACGGTGGTCACCCCCATAATGAACCCCTTCATTTACAGCCTGAGGAACAGGGACATGAAGGGGGCCTTGAGGAAACTTACTGGTAGGATAACTTCTCTTCTATGAATGTGTTGTCTACTTTGCATTGGAGTTTCAGAATGAGTCAAAACGGCCAAAATCCTGAGAGAAGAATGAGGAGAAGGGATTGTAGCATGACCATCTCCTCAGAGGACGATTTCTCACTTTCCCTCTCATTGTCTCTGCCTCTGTTTGCCAAATGCATACACCCTATGGCAAAAAGATTTTTAAAAAATTTCTAAGGACCAATGGGTAACATGTTGAGTAAGGTGGCTGGACTCCCACATGTCAAACCATGGTTCAAGTCCCAGACCTGGTGGCTTGAAACACATGGGGCACGTGCATGTGAGTGCCCAAAATTTATAATTAGATCATCTCAGTGGTTTGAGATATTATGAAATATTTGATATTGACTTTTGCAAAAGTATTTATTTCTATTGAGTTGTCAGAAAAGTCATGATGTATTTTTTCTATGCAAAAATTCATCATGACTCTTCCAACAACCCAACAGTATGAGAAAAAAACTCCATGCCTGACCTTTCCATCATCAAGTTCTTCTAATGTGACTAAAACCAAAATGGGTAAGTTTAATTGAACTTGAGGTTAAAATGACATTTTTTTTTCTTTTTTTATGTGTCTTTTTAAAAAATTATATTTAATCATTGTACATCTATATGACATACAATATGTTTTTAAAAACATACATGCATTGCATGTCCATCAAGTCAAAGATGTTACTGTACACATCATCCCCTCAAAATGACTTTGCATTCTGTGTCTGCTAAATGTTTGTTTTTTTTTTTTTTTGTATGTCCCCCGTCAATATATACTGAATGTCTGTGATCATGGCAGAAATGGAAAGATTGGAAGATATAAGCAGAAATAGCAAGTGTAAATAAAAAGAGAGTGAACAATATGGGGTAGGAAGAAAAAGCTCAGGAAAAGAAATTTCTGCCTTTTCCCTGGGAGCCGCCACCATGAAGGTCAAGCTTTGCAGTTTCAGCGTCTGCAAGATCTACCCTGCACATGGGAGGCACTATGCCCAGACTTCCGGGAAGGTTTTCCAACATCTTAATAGAAAATGTGAGTCAGCAATCCTTTCCAAGAGGAATCTTTGACAGATAAATTGTTCTGATCTCTAAAGAAGAAAACACAAAAAGGGACAGTCAAAAGAAATTCAAAAGAAAAGGATCCAGGGACCAGCAGTTAGCGTAATGGCTATGTTGCTGGACTCCCATGTAGTCGACCATGGTTCGAGTCCCAGACCCAGCGTCTTAAACTTACGCCAGGTGCGTATGTGTGCGTGCCCAAGATCCCAAGAGGAGAATGGAGGAGAAGGGATTGCGGCATGGCTATCCTTCCTGGGGGATGATTTCTTGCCTTCTGTCTCTCTGTCTCTCTCTCTTTCTGGTGAGCGCACACACCCTATAGCAAAAAAGAAAAAAAAAATAACTTTTCCAAAAAAAGAAAAGGATCTGCTGTGTAGTCAAATTCCAGAGAGTCAGCACTGGCGCATTTCTTGTTTATATCATGGTCAAGAGGAACCAAAAATATGAAGTTCGAAAGGCTCAGTGAGAACAAGCTATCATGGCTGCCAAGAAAGCAAAAAAGGCTAAGCAAGCACCTAAAGAGACAGCAATGGCTGCTGCTAAGGTTCTCCCAAAGGTAGCACTGAACAAAAGATTATAAAGCCTGTGAAGGTTTCTACTTCCACAGTTGGTGGAAAATGCTAATTTAACAGATAAGATTTTTAAATAAAGATTCAACTATATCTTAAAAAAAGAGCTTTTCTGTGTTTTCATGTTTTTCGGTCAGCTTATTCTGCTGTGTTTCTTATTATCTCTAGTGGAGCCCACATAGGGAATTAGAATTGGATAAAATTAATTGTATCATTGATGTCTTAGAGGGTTGTCTTCAATTTTGGACTCCATGCAAAATATTTTAATATGTCTTATGGGAAACTTATTCTATGGAGAACTACTTGACTTGGAGATGGAGATGTTGAGTGTAAGACAGGGCAGGCGGAAGGTATATTCACAAGATTAAGAAGTTTTCCACAGAAGTTTAAAAAAGTAGGAACATCAGGGCTTTTGTGGGTGATGAGTTAAAACAACAGAGGTCTTGGGACCAGCAGATGGTATTGCTAGACTCCTAAGTAATTGACAATGGTTCGAGTCCCAGACCGGGTGGCTTAAAACTCACAATGGGTGTGTGTGCATATGTGCCCAAAAAGCTGAGAGGAGAATGGAAGAGATGGGATAGTGGCATGGCCATCCCCTCTGGTGGGGCGCAGGGGTGATCTCTTGCTTTTTGTCTTTCTGTCTTTCTGGAGAGCACACACACCTTATAGCAAAAATCTCTGTCAAAAACAAGCAAACAAACAAAGCAACAGAAAGTTTGGATCAGCCAATGGCATTGTGGTTAAAGTAGCTTGATACCACATGGCTAACTGCCCTGTTTGAGTCCTGGCCCACCTGCCTGAAATACATGCTGGGCACGTGTGCATGCAGAGTCAAAATCCTGAAAGGAGGGAGAAATGGAGAACTGATCGTTACCATCCCTCAGAGGGTGATTTCCTCTCTCTCTCTCTCTTTCTTTCTTTCTTTCTTTCTTTCTATCTCATCTCCCTCCGGTGAGCACATGGGCCCCCTGGCAAAAAATGAAAGAAGAGAAACATAGAAACAGAGTTATCAAACTGGTGGCATGGGAGTTGGGGGACTGTATCTCACATGGCCAATACATGGTTTGAGTCCTCGACTTGGACTCCTGAAAAACATGCTGGGTGCTAAAAAAAGAATAAAATAAAGTAAAATATAAAAAAAGAGAACTAGGAAATATTAAATGGATCTCAGAAAAAAAAAACAAGCTACTGTATTTTTATACTTAACTGTTCTTAAGTATATTTTAAATAATTGATTCACTCATTCATACTCTCTATTTTCCCACTTAAGATTGATATTAGATTCCTGATATCCTTGATTAGATAGTGATGCCTCGGGTCACATCCATGTAAAGAAGGCTGGAATGCAACTAGTGAAGGGTGGTGTGTTCACCCATGCAAGGAATGAGACTGGGAGATGAGCAGACAGAGATGGGGAAAAGTGGAAGGTGTACACTGGTCACCTAAGGGCAGACGCTATCGTCCTAAATTCTTTCTTCCAAGATCGGTCTTTGAGGATTTTTAGTGCTCTGGGATTACAAGGGAAATGAAGTTCCTTGGCTAATGAGGAGCTCTGGATATTGAATCTCTGGGGGACAGAGCTCGCAATGAACTTGTGACCGTCTCACTCAGCAAGTCTTCCCCAGTGATAAGGAGCATCCGACCCTCCTCCTGTGGATGACCTTTCTTGCTCAGGAGCCTGGATTCCTCCCTCAGTCCTTCCCTTCCTGAGGAGAGAGCTTCTGTAAGATACGTTTGAAGATGTCAGGAGTCATTCCACTGTGATGCCATCAGGTAGCAGGTACTCTAGAACCCCTTTGTGAATAGCTGGAAATGTATAAGAGTTTTACTACAATTTCATCCTGGAGAATCATATGAGACCCAAATGAGCATGGTTCTCCTGTCTGTTTGTAATTGCTTTCCGCTTTTTTTTTTTTTAAACCAATTCTTAAGTACCTTTCATCTGTTAATCTAACACTCAGACTCCACGGTGCTACAATCATGTTCTTCTTGAGCAGGAGAAATAAGGTATGGCCAGCCCCCTACCCGCCACGTTCTTTCTCTATCTCTCTGGTGCACACGTGCACACTATGGTAAAAATCTTTTTTAAAAAGGAGGTAGTTTCTTTTTTTTTTTTTTTCTTTTGTACACCACAATCCTATCTCCTACTTTTCCATCTTCGATTTTGGGCATACATGCATATGTGTCCAGTGTGTTTTTCAAGCTGCCAGGTCCGGGACTTGAATGGTGGAGTTGGCTCTATGGGATCAAGCATCTTAATCACCATGCCTCCTACTGGCCTTCAGCTTCAGGTTTCAAAAAATAAAATCAAAATCAGGCTAGGCAGTGGCAGTTACGACGGCTGGATCCCACTGCACCGTTCCAGTCCTGGACCCAACGGCTTGAGAAACATGCTGGGTACCTGTGTGCACATGCCCGAAATCCAAACGGAGGAAGAGATGGAGGAGAAAGGGTTGCAGTGTGACTGTTCCTCATGGAGATGTTTTTTCCTTTTCCCTCTCAGTCTCTCTCTCTTCCTCTCTCTCCCTGTTGAGTGCACACACTCTCTGGCATTTTTTTTTTTTTTTGAGTAGCACAATAACATGCCCAGAAGGCAACATTTTTCCTTTCTCTTCATTAGTCTCCCTGGGCCCACCATGGTTTTTGCCACCAGTGGTGATTCTCCTGCTGGTGGAAAAAATGCTCATTTGATTGTTGTCCCCCCACCCCATCTTGTCCATCAGATGAATCTGCACCATGGAACACAGAAACCAAACAGGAATTTCTGAATTCTTTCTCTTGGAGATGACAGAGGATCCTGAACTGAAGTTCATTTTCTTTGGGCTGTTTCTGTCCATGTACCTGGTCACCGTCCTGGGCAACCTGCTCATCCTCCTGGCCGTCATCTCAGACTCCCACCTGCACAGCCCCATGTACTTCCTCCTCTCCAACTTGTCCTTTACTGACATCTGCTTAAGCACCACCACGATCCCAAAGATGCTGGCCAACATCCAGACCCAGACTCAGAGCATCACCTACACGGGCTGCCTCTCCCAGATCTGCCTCGTCCTGGTCTTTGCTAGTATGGAAAGTTCCCTTCTTGCGATAATGGCCTATGACCGTTTTGTGGCCATCTGTCACCCCCTGAGGTACACTGCCATCCTGAACATCCGTCTCTGTGGCGTGCTGAGTTTATCCTCCCTGTTCATAGGGATTGGAGACGCCCTGGTGCAGAGCCTGATGGTGCTACGGCTGTCCTTCTGTACCGACCAGGACATCCCCCTGTTCTTCTGTGAAGTGGTTCAGGTCATCCAGCTTGCCTGTTCTGATACCTTTGTCAATGTCATTGTGATATATTTTGCAAGTGGCATATTTGGTGCTCTTCCACTGACTGGAATCATTTTCTCTTATACTAAGATAGTCTCCTCTGTTTTGAAAGTGCCGTCAGCAGGAGGGAAATACAAAGCCTTTTCCACCTGTGGGTCCCACCTCTCAGTGGTTGCCTTGTTCTATGGGGCAGCTTTTGGGGTGTACATTAGTTCAGCCGTGACTGAATCTTCCAGAATCACTGCCGTGGCCTCACTGATGTACACCGTGGTCCCCCAGATGATGAACCCCTTTATTTATAGCCTGAGGAACAGGGACATGAAGGCAGCCTTGAGGAAACTGGTCAGTAGGACGCCTCTTCTGTGATCGTGTCATCTGACTTGGACTGGGGTGTCTAGAAGGAGTCAACCTAACAGGAATCTGAGGGCCAGCAGGTGGTGTGATGGATAAGGGTGCTGGATTCCCACATGGCCAACTATGGTTCAAGTCCTGGACCTGGTGGCTTGCTTTCTCCCTTTCCCTTTCTCTCTCTCTCTCTCTCTCGTCAAATAAAGAAAAAAATAACAATAACAAATGGAAAAAAATAAATAAATAATTCTTTTAAAAAAACCAGGAATCTGACTCACATCAAATTCTTGTCAAATCACTAGTTAATGTGATGGGTAAGTGTATTTTTATTGCAGTTGAAATCTGACCTGCCTTTTTAACAATATTTTTTATTTATTTATTATCATAATCTTTATATTACGTTGACTCACATATAACTTTAGTGTATCACATTTGTTTTGCGTATCAGTCAAGACAAAGACATTACTTTCCACACCATCATCATCAAATAGCTTTGCATCATTTTTTTCCAGATTATTATCATTATTTTTTAAACATTCAATCAATCTATATAATTTTGATTCTAAAAAGAATTTACCCAACATGAAATACTTCTCAGACCAGTCTAGTTGAGAATGCTATCCATGTTACCATCAATGGGTAATAAACCATTTCTGTGTCCCACTAATGTCATGCCTCTCTATCTGTTCTCTTGCTAACCTTCTCTGTACTCTTCCTTTCTCCCGCCCCGTTCCACACTGTCTTCAGCATCCATAACTATTTTCACTGCTTTTATGCCCTTCAATATTTCAATCTCTACCACAGAATGGATAGTCAGTATACATTAAGTGGATACATGTAATATCTTTCTTTCATATCTTGGCTTGCTTCACTCAGCAATAGATCCTCCATATCTGACCACTTTCTATCAAATGCCAGGGTCTTGTTTTTATTGACTTGCCTTTTTTTAGTGACTCTGTGTTTCAAAAATGAATTTAATCCTCTAAGCTCAGTTTCTTCCGTTGGTATTTAGGTAGTTAAGCTAAGACATGGGTTGTAGTAATTTGCTTGAAATGGGCTCAGAAGAGATGTTTCATAGGTCAGTGTGAGAATCCAAACAAGGAAGGTGTTCATAGCAGAGAACTGATGTTGTCTTATCCAAAAATTTTTTTAAATAAAACTGTTGACAATTTCTTAAAAACCTGTGGCACATATACTCTATGGAATACTATTCAGCCATAAAGAAAACAACAAAACCCTGGCTTTTGACAGAAAGTGGAAAAATACGGAAGATTTACTGCTGAGTGAAGCAAGCCAGGCTATGAAGGAGAGACATTGTATGTCCCCACTTAATATATACCAAGTGTCCGCACTCTATGACTGAAACTGATGGACTAAAGGATGTACAAACACAAGAGATGGGTGTGAATGTCAGATGTGGTGTGTGGGGAGGAGCTGAGCCTGGGGAAGGACATTTGGAGGAGGGATACGGAGGCAGAGCATTGATGTGACAGGGATGTGTGGTGTTATTTGTTGATATTTTGATCAACTGGACTGGGGAGAAGTGTTCACATATTGAAATGTTCACTTCGTAAGCTAAATAATCTGATTTGAATGTATAAAAAATGTAAAATAAATTTTAATAAAAGAAAAAGTTTAAAAAATTTCCATATTTCACAATGAAAATAAAAATTGTACTTTTTGGTAGTAAGTTCCAAAGTCCTGAATGAAGGACTGAGCGATCAGACACTGACCTTCTACTCCCTGCTGGAGTCTAAACTGGAGACTTAGGCTCATCCAGGGGTGTGAGGCCACGATGGCTCTGAAGAAGTCCCCCATGCTGTTCCCACTGCTAGTCCTGCTGCTGCTCCCGGTGCTGGGTGGCTCCAGCCATCCCTGGGCAAGGAGTCCCCAGCCAAGAAGTTCCAGAGGCAGCACATAGACTCAGGAGGTTCTTCCAACAACACCTCCACCTACTGCAACCAAATGATGACAGGCTAGACATGATGAGGGGCTGGTGCAAGGCAGTGAACACCTGTGCGGTTGTTATTTTCTGATATATTTCTTGCATATTTTCTCTATTTGGTTGTTATTTTCTTATTTTTAGAATTTTTTTTTTTTTGCCTTAGAGTGCATGCCCTTGCCAGAGAGAGAGAGAGAGACAGACAGACAGACAGACAAAGACAGAGATAGTGAGAAGGAAAGTGAGAAACAACCCCCCGGCCCCAGGGGGGATGGCCATGCCACAATCCCTTTTCCTCCATTCTCCACCCAGAATCTTGGACACACATACACACGAGGCCTGTGTGAGTTTCAAATCTCTGGGTCTGGGACTTTAACCACTGTCGGGCGTGTGGGAGTCCAGTGACATAACCACTAAGCCACCTGCTGGTCCCTTGGTTATTATTTTCAGCACTGCACTCGTGAGACTCAGTCACATTTGGGTTAGCAATTTATGCATGAATTTTTTGTGGTACTTTTTTAAAAGAATTATTTTAATCAACTTTGTTTATTTCAATTTGACCAGAGAAGGTCAGAGTTGAGGGAGAAGAAGAGAAGGAAAGTGAGAAAGCAAGCCTCTAGATCCGGGACTCGAACCACAGTTGGCCATATGGGAGTCTAGCACTCTTAACTACCACACCACCTGCTAGCCCTGGTGGTACTTTTATGTTATGTATGGTGACAATAACAAGTAGGTGGCCTTTCTGATGATCATATAAAATAATTATGTGATCTATTCAGTTTTTAATTAAAACGAAATAATAAACACGTGAAAAGATAAATGACACATAAGTGAATATCGACAGGAACACCGTCTCCACCTATTCATCTGTGAATGAATTGTAACAAAATCTACTCTAAGCATGGACAAACCACACCATGGCCTTCCAGAGACATTGTATTTTAACAATTCAATTGAAAATGAAGGGAAAAAGAGAAGTGAAGAAAAACCTACACTAAATGCATTGTGAGAAAATTGGAAAATGTGCCTATGAAAGTCTAAAAATGGATCCCACTTACATAGGCACAGTCAAAACGATCACAGGGAATAGATTTAAAACATTGTCAATGGAAATAACCAACTCTGCAAAAGT